TTATATTTAGTTTTAGACTCTTCAACTATTAAAGTTTTAAGCTATTCATATACAGGGTCTATATTTTCGGAAATAAGGATTTCTATCATAGATTCGATTGCAATTAAGGAAATAAACGGGTTTTATAATGTAATTGATTAAGAGATAGACTTAAACCACAAAGGAAGTTCGGAAAATTACTTATTTTAATCAAGAAGATATTTTTACATTTTTATTAAATTCTAAGAAGCTAGTTTATAAATGGAATTAAGCTTAATCTTATGTATATTAAGGGTCAAATTCTGGTAAAAAATAGCATATTTTTATATACACTCATCCAGTTTTAAAGATGTTACCATTTATTAGTTGCTTTATTCCTTAAAAGGGGCTACTTTGTCGTATTTTTCGAGTTTTAGGAGTAATTTATTAATTACTTTTAGGCCTTATTCCAATAATATGGACTATAAGTGTATATTCTCTTACTTTAAAAGAGACAGGGACTCAAAGAGACCAGATAGAGTCTCTCGAATGCAAAAATTAGCGACTGAAGATTCGAAAAATTCGCCTTGGAGTAGATTTTAGAATGTAAAATCAATTAAATTAATTATTTCTAGGCATTCTTGGTCATTATTATGTATTATTTAATAAACTGATTCTTCAGAAAGACTACGGAGTAAAATATTGAATTAACCAGAAATGTTTTCCATGAATCTTTATCCACTTTTTAGTACTTCGGAATTAAAAGAGTAGTTTTTGGAGGAAAAAGTTTATACATATTTTACTATAGAGGAAGATAGTTTAGATAGGGTTTATTCTATAAGATTATCGTGTTCCATATAAAAATTTTGCATTATTTTTAAAGGGATTATCGCAGTCTGCTTTTCTTTGGGTTCGTTTTTAAATATCTTCTTAAAAGCCTATACTATTAATTCAATTACAAACTCATTTTCATCGTTTATGATGTGTTTATTGTCTAAATCTGGCTTACCGAGAAGCCAGACATTTATTCGACGGATTACTGATAGATCTTTTTTTAAAAATAAGTATAGAATACCCTCTACTAGGACTAGTTAGTCGTTATTTGATAGTATTTCATGGTTTAAACGCAAATTTTGATATAGAAAGTCTAGTATATTTCTTCT